CTTTCAGTTGCGTTCCGTAGGTCAGCTCTGCTGGTGAGTGTCCGATGTCTTCTTTGATGGCTGTACGTAACCCTAATAATACTGTAGGTAGAACGTCTAGCCAACTTTCCGCTTCATGGCACATGATGGCTGCCTTCATGGTTCGATGCCATCTCTCGATAAGGCCGTTGCTCTGGGGCCTATATGGCGTCGTCCGAGAGCGCTGAATGCCCAAAATTTTCGCCAAGGCATTCATGGTGGATGCTTCAAATTGTCGCCCTTGGTCGGTTGTAATTTGTCTTGGGCAACCGAATCTTGAAATCCATGTTTCGTAGAATGTCTTGGCGACTGTCTCTGCGGTCATGTCGGTCATGGGTGCGATCTCTGGCCACCTGGTGAAACGGTCAGACATAGTGAGGCAATACCTGTAGCTTTGAGAGGGAGGTAGCGGACCTACTATGTCGATGTGCACGTGTTGGAACCGTTCTGTGACGTCATCGAAATGCTGTAATGGGGCTTTGGTGTGTCGGCCAACTTTGGATCGCTGGCAAGGGATGCAGCTTCGTGCCCACTTCATTATGTGACTCTCCATAAATGGCCACACAAATCGCTTCTTGATGAGCTTACTGGTCGCTCGGCCGCTGGGGTGTGAGAGGTTGTGAAATCCTTCAAAAATTACTTTTCTCGAATCTTGTGGAACGTATGGTCTGACCACCCCCGTTGACGTGTCACACCAGATAGCCTTCTGGCCGGCCTGTGGGGTGAGTTTTTCTAACTGCAGGCTTGTTGTATCAGAGTTTAAAAGTGTTTTTAGTTCGGCGTCTTTTTCTTGTTCCTTGGCTAAGTCGTCGGTGTCAATGAACGTAGGAATTGTGATTTCATTGACCCTTGAAAGTGTGTCTGCAACTGTGTTTTGTTCACCTGAAATGTGGATAATGTTGGTAGAAAACTGGCCGATGAAATCTAGCTGCCTGACTTGTCTTGGGGATGCTTTGCCTGCTTTCTGCTGAAACGCGTAGACGAGGGGTTTGTGGTCGGTGAGTATGCAAAAGTCTCTGCCTTCCACCATGTGCCTGAAGAATTTTATGGTTTCGTAGACTGCAAGCAGCTCACGATCGTATGCGCTGTAGTTGCGCTGCTCCTTGCTAAGTTTTCTGGAGAAGAAACCTAAAGGTTGCCAGGTCCCATTGGAGTGCTGCTCTAGTACGCCCCCGATTGCGTAATCAGAAGCATCGGTGATAATTCTGAGCGGCAGATTTTCGGCGGGATGTGCCAGAAGCGCGGCGTTGGCTAACTCTGTCTTGCACGTTTCAAAAGCAGCTTCAGCTTCCTCTGTCCATTCGACTATTGTTTTGTCATTCTTCCGCGCGCTGTTCAGATATTGGTGAAGTGGTGTTTGGGTCTGGGCTGCGTGGGGAATGAAACGTCGGTAGAAGTTGATCATGCCAAGGAACCGTCGCAGATCTTGAACTGTCTTTGGTTTGGGGAATTCGCGGATTGCACTGACCGACGTCTCAAGTGGTTTGGTTCCACTCCCGGAAATCGTATGTCCTAAATATTTCACTTCGGCTTCACCAAACACGCACTTGGTCGGGTTAATCACTATGTGATGCTCCCGTAACCGAGAAAATAACATTTTTAGATGTTCGACGTGCTCTGCTTCATCTCGGGAGAACACTAAGATGTCGTCTATATACACGTAGCAGAAATCAAGGTCACTTATTAGAGAGTTCAGGTGTCTTTGGAAAGTCTGCGCGGCATTACGTAGTCCGAACGTCATAACTGTAAACTCGAAGAGCCCGAACGGAGTGCACACGGCTGTTTTAGGAACGTCTTCTTCAGCCACGGGAATTTGATGGTATGCGCGCACTAGGTCTATGGTGGAGAACACACTTTTACCTTCGAGTCTGTAGGTGAAGTCCTGTATATGAGGGATGGGGTAGCTGTCAGGCACTGTCACGTTGTTTAGGCGCCTATAGTCGCCACATGGATGCCATTCACCAGGGAGTTTCTTTGGGACAAGGTGAAGCGGACTAGCCCAAGGGCTCTTGGATGGTCGGCACCAGCCCTGTTCCATCATATATTGGAATTCGGCTTTCGCCACTCTCAACTTCTCGGGTGCAAGCCTGCGAGGAGCTTCTGCGACCGGGGGACCTCTGGTGATGATGTGGTGGAACACGTTGCCCCTGTGCTTCGTTCCAGGTGGCGGTGGGCGTGTAATTTCTGCGAAATCCGCTAGCAGTGCGTGATATGGCGTCGTCTTGGCCACTGTCGTGATCTGAGGCGACTTGCATATAGCCAGGGTTCCGCGAGTTGATAAGAGGGTGGCTGCGTCTACGAGGCGTCGGTTGCGGAGATCAGGTAGGAGGTTGTGATGCCTCAGGAAGTCTGCTCCGATGATGGGTTTGCCTACGTCTGCCACTATAAATACCCACTTGAACGGACGTTTCAGCTTGAGATCAAGGAACATTAGCTTTTGGCCGTATGTTCTGATCGCGCTGTCGTTGGCCGCGAAGAGCGTTGTCTCAGCTGGGCTGAGATGTTGTCTGCCTGAGAACAATCTCTTGGGTAACACGGAAACTTCTGCCCCCGTGTCGATTAAATATCGGGTACCTGATTTTGGGTCGGTGATGAAGAGGCGTTGTGTTTGCGCTGCGTCGTGGACCACCTCAATCGTCGACGGCGCCTCTAGTTTAACGGCCTTTTGTAGTCACAGGGTTTGGCGCATCTTCTGGCGTTTGCTCCGAACCGATTGTGATAATAGCAGATATTATCGTCCTGCGGATTCGACCTTGACCTAAATTTGGCGCGATTCCAGTTTTCGCCTTGCCCATGGCGCCTTCTGTCGTCTGCGAGTTGGTTTACTGTGGTCGATAAAGTTACGAACTGCTTCTGCAGTGCCGTAATGGCGGCAGCCATTCCATCTTCTTGCGCCGATGTAACGGTTTGAGAGGCGTGCGCGGAGGTACCGCGATTTAGGGCACCAATATTTGCTGTGATGGCGCTGGTATGGTGGATTTCGGTCAATTTGTCCGCTATGGTCGCCATTTTGTCCAGCGTTTCTTTATCATTTGCGGCGAGGATCATCTGTAGTTGTGGGGGTAAACGCTGCAACCACAGAGTCTTGAGGACGTCACCGCTGATCCCCTTACCCGCTAGGGCTTCCATTTCTCTTAGTAGTTGTGACGGCTGCTTGTCCTCTAACTCTATTTCGTACATGAGCTTCCGTAGTCGTTTTTCGGGGGTGTCTGCATAGGCGGCGATCAATCTGGATTTTATGCTTTCGTACTTTGTCTCTTCTGTTGGGGGGTTGGCGACCAAATCGGCAACCGGCTGGAGCGTCGCGCAGTCTAAGGCGGTTACCACGGTCCAGTACTTGGTCTGGTCGGACCTGATTCTCGCGCAATTAAATTGGGCTTCGACTTGTGCAAACCAAAGCACCGGGTCTCGCTGCCAGAATGTCGGTAGCTTCAGATTTGAACCACTTCTTACCTCATCAAGGGCTTGTTTGTTGGAGATGGTAGCCAGTTGTGTCTGGAACTGGCAAATTATTTCTTGTTGTTCCTGCAGTTTCTTTTGCATTTCTTCCATGGTGCTAGCTCTTCCTATTTTCTTTCCGGGGTCACCAATGTGGAAATGACTAACACCAGGTAGGGTTTCTCTATAGTTTATTTACAAACGGATATCTTACACGTGGAACAGGAGACGGTACCCATCTTCTTCGTTTCGATGTCGGCGGCAGAAGAGAGTACTTGCCGTACTCGCGCCTCCTTGTGTCCCCAGTTGGTCTCTGCGTCGGCGCCAGGTTCACCAATCACGAGTGGTGTTCGGTGAGCATATTGAGTTGCCTACTCGTAGGCGAGAGGAAGTAGTACGTGTGCGTTGTGTTGCCTACATCAACATCACAGCAACGCCACATACTCAGGTCCTCCATGCCGTACTGGGAGAGTCTGTCCTCTAGCGTTTCAACTTCATCCCCACGCTCAAGTTAGCCACCTTTAAGGTACGTGTTCCTAACGCCGATACGCTGTTTTATACGAATGGTTAGATTAATCCCACTTCTCTCAGGGTTTCCTCAAACCCGAAAAGCCCCAACAACTCTCTGTTCTGCTAGCCCTCACACGTCCCGGATCCAAGAGGAAATTTTTGTGACGAGCAGCGGTCAAAATCTTGAAATAAGCAAATTATAGAAAAGACTCGGCTAAACCACCACAAATTCATATTTTTTTCTCTTCATTAAGAGTTGTTCTTCGTCGCCGGTCAATTGCGAGTTGGTCTTCCCAGTCAAGTTACTCTCATTTGATTTGGTATCTATAGAGCTCTCATGAGTCCACGAGTACCAGGGAAAAGGGTTCAACTGCAGTAGATCTCCACATACTGCAGAGGAAGGATAAGATACAATCGAAGATCCCCTGGTATTCGAAAGTCACCGATCGCGGCCCACTAAGACATTCATCCCCTGGGCACCACACCATGGGATTTCGAATGCACTTAGTTTAGAAGACTTACGCGGTATTCTGTTGTTATGTTATTTAACTGAGCTTGTTACACAACGACAAAAAAAATACATATATTTTTATTTTCTATGTTTGTCATAGCCCACCGTAGACTGACCTAACCTGACTTGGTTAATTGAATTTAGATATTTTTCCTTCTGTTATATATTTTCAAAGATTAAAAGTAAAACATTTGACTGCATATATAAAATTTTTTAAGATAGTCCATATGGGTACAGTTCAAAATCAGGAACGATTTAAGGATTAAACTACCGCCAGGCTTCACATCCCAACATGCCAAGTGAGAATTACTTTTTAGATTTAAGTTGGTTATTTTTTATGGAAGAAAGGAAAAAAGTATTTTTTCACAAAAGTGAAATAACCAGCATTAGATAAAAGTGTGACACATGAACTTGATTAAAAAATATATGAGCAAGATGACCTTGATACTACATACTTATCTAATCACTAAAACAATTGGATATTGATTCATTCGTGTCACAAAATGCACATACTTGATGGTATTAAATAAAAAATAAAAATATGATTTGCCTATTTTATTAGACTCGTTAAATTGTGTAGACAATCAATATGAAGTTGTTTCCATGTATTTTAAATGTGGCGCTAGTCGCTAACCACCAATCAGAACATACACCTCATTTTAGCCAATCAGCAACAGTGATTGAGGCACCGACGTTTGCTTGTGGCTGTAACACATCTGACAATCGCTATCCTTTATTTGTTGTCCAGTTTCGAAATCATTTTTAGATTTTTACCGTGTTGCTTCCCTGGGAAGGACAAGGGTTCCGACAACAAAGGGACTTCCCCAATCGACTTTGTGTGAACTACAGGTTGGTGTACTTTAAAAACCCCTGGAACTTTATAAGCAGTGGAAAGTTCAAGTGTCGTTTTCTCTTTTGGTTATGTTATTGTGTTAATTACAAAAAAATGGAAGAGCCGATTGGGGCCCAATACGCCGTCCATGTGGCTTTACAAACCCTAAAGGAGCGTTGTAAGAACTTGCAAGAAATGGTGATTACCCTGGAGGAGGAAAACCTACATTTAAGAGGTCAGCTGAGTCAAAGTGGACCGAACAGTGTTTCAGTGTCTGATTTGGATAAGTTAAAAGCGCAAGTAGCCGAACTTACCGAAAATAAACTGCAACTTTTAAATAAAGTCAAGATGGTCACAAGTGAGAACCAAGAATTGTGGAGTAAACTAAGTAGGTTAAGTCACGTTAATCACAATCTGGGGACGCAACTTAGCAAAATTAACGACTCGCTAGTGCAATATACCACAAAGAAGAAGGAAACGCACTCGCCTTTAATTAGATCAAAGACTTTTACTCAAGACGAACCTCACACGAAAGTTCTACAAAAGAACATCGAAGAAAACGGGAAGATTTGTGCTGAACTGGAGGAAATTTCTCTGAAGATAATTAATAGTTTTGCTCAAGAGAAGAGTGAACTGGATTCATTATATTCAGAGATACATGATATACAATGGGGTGAAAATATCATAACAGACTCTTGTGGATTTTATTATGAAGACTATGATAATAATATTATAGACAACTTCAATTCTGTATTAGAGGAACTAAAAACCACAAAAGAGACTGTAGTTAGCCAGAAAGCTGCCCTGCAAATTATTTTAAAGAAGTTACATAAATTACAAGGTAAATATTTTACACAGGCATTCAGTTTTATGATTAATAATAATAAAGGTCTTTTTCAGAAATCAGGAAAAAGAAAGTCTGTGATACTAGAATGTCTAAGAAAGTGGAAGTTGTAGATAAGGGGACATCAACAGTACCTTTATCTGAAAATAAAGAATCTCCCATTAAAAGCATACCTAATCAAGTTCTTCCAGAAACAAATATCGATGAGCCTCCTGAAGCAATGGATATGATTTGTCCAGTATGTTGTAAGAATTTTAGTAGTAATGTAAATTTTAAAGTGTTTCAGGATCATGTAGAGAAACATTTTACTGAGGAAACATTTGAATTGTTGTGATAATGATATTATTGAGTAGTCCACTATATCTTTTGTTCTTTATTTTTATAGCATTATGGTATTTCTTTTTATTTAAATTAGACAATGTAACTGATTTATAAATAAAAGGAATATTTTTTAAAAGAAGTAATTATTATTAAATGCTAGACGTGATGATAACCCAAGAGATTTAAACGCTTCTGCAACTGTATTGCTAATGTATAGGAAGAATGGAACTCTAGAATAAAACACTATTCCCAGATCTCTAAAGAAATCCACTCTCGGAATTTTTATTATCAGGGACAATGTGACATTTGTGGGAATTAACGCTTAACATACTGGATTTAGTCCATTTTTTAAGAGTGAGAGTCTTAACATGTAATATGTATTATTTTCTACAATTAACCTAAATCTGATGGTTTTACATCACTGGTCGTCGCTGGCTGCTGTGTTGTTTGTTGAAGAAGATTTTTGCTAAACCATGCAGGCCTAGGTTTTGGTATTTCCACAATTCGTTTTCCTTCGAAAAATTCTTCAGGTTTGCCATCTTTTTCTCCCTCATACAGTACAACCACTTCCTTTTCTACAGGAGATAATTGTAGTTCTTGTTGGATAGCATCTTGCATTACTTTGGTTTCTTCAATTACTTTTTTATAACAGGTAGCTAAACAGAAATAAAATTTATAAACAAGTATTTAGTAACAATTGTTTATTTTTTACAAACAATTGCATTGTTGCATTGCTTCTAATAGGTAATTCGGTTTTTCTAGAAATTTTATCAACGTTTTTAATTTCGGGATTTCGTTATTTAGAGTTGTTGTTCAGACTATGTTAGTCGCGTAATCTAATTTTTCTAAAAATATAAGTAGCTAATGCCTCCAAGTGTCGATTGGTAACTTTTGAACGCGTAGAGCTTCAATTATTCAATATTCCTATAGTGGTATCAACGAACAATTTTCTAAGTATTATGTTTTATCCATGACGGGATAAAAAATTGATAAACGATCGTTGTTTGTCTAAAAGTTCCACTTGAATTTGATGTGTATGTTTCTGTTCGCGTAATTTTCGCGTTTACATTTTTTAAGAATTTTAAAAGGTTTACATTATGATTATATGCAAACTGCAATTTCAACTCAATGTTAGTTCTATTTTTCCAAGTATCAGAGTATGACTGACTGAGGTTAATATCAGCTTTTCAATTTGTTTATTTTGAACAACTGATTGATCTGTAAAGCTGTACCCTGAAAAGCTTTAATTACAATCAGTAAATTTACAATTGCAACTAATAAAAGGGATACTACGTTTGATACATTGGATGATAATGGTTAACACATAATTTCTGTTACAAATTTGCTTAAGTATGCAATTTATTTTACTCTGTCACACTTCATGTTTGTAATTGCGAACAAACGGAATTGATTTTACTCTCATTTGAAGTCTTACTTTACTGATAAAGGGCACTCTTGAGTACCATTATCCGCCCCAATGATGTTAATGCAAGTGTAAATGATCTGTTAGTTTCTAGTTGATTTTTTATTTATAGGAACGAAAAAAAGAACCAACTGTAGAAATATCTGAACGTTAACGGTTTGAAACTAATGAAAATCAAAATGAAATATAGATGTATTGGAATTGTCGATTGAAATTTAAATACGAAATTATAAATACCCCGACTTTCTGCTTCACCTGTAGCAATTCAACTTATTATTAACGCGATAAATAGAATGTCTTTCGAAAAATATGAAAATATAATGTCTAAATGCACCGCTTGTTTTCTAAGCTGCCAACTCAAAGTGAAACGCGCCTGCGCAGTAAAATGATTTACTTATATCAGGTGGAAGCGTATTCTACTGGTGTAGTTTTTGCTTTGTGATGATTTTGTTTGTGTATATAATATTTAAACATGGATTCAATGATCATCCAAATTTTCTTACACTGTATTTCTTTCATATAGGATGATTCAGGAGTAATAATAAGCCTAACCAAATCGAAGATGCAGTACATTTATTTTTCAGCGACGTTTATCAACTTATATATATCGTTAATTGTGAGACACTAAAATGTATTATATTTTGCCTTTTTTTTTGTTAATATACGTGGCCATCTTTTCACAACAAGAAACTTAAAACATGGTTAAAATGGTACATTTTTGCAAGGAAATATGGATTTTAAAACATATTTTAACTTTCATGTCGTGAAAAGAAGTCTACACATATTAAAAGAAAAAGGCAAAATGTAAGCCCGCCCACCCGCCCTATCTCAATTGTGATGATTTTTTTATTCCTCGTTAGTCAAGAGGGCGGAGCTTAATTGCAAGATCCTTATTTTTCAACAACAAATTACCACCTAAGACATGTTTTTGGGTATCATGTTCAAAGAATACTACGTATATTAAGAAAAATAAAGCCAAAGACAAGGCCCCACGCATACCCGCCCCGATCTCAATTCTCAAATGTGATGAATTTTTCATTCATTGTCAGATCGAGGGGCGGGGCTTAATTGCAAGACCCATATTTGTCAATTTGTCTACAAGAATTTACCATTTTAAACATCTTTTAAGTTTCTTGTTCTGAAAAGACGACTATGTATGTTAAAAAGAAAGGCAAAATATAAGCCCCATCGAGAACCAAAGAAGCAGAATTTAATTGCAAAATGCATATTATTTATCTACAAGAAATTACCATGTAAGATATATTTTGGAGTATAGTGTTATTCAAAGAATACTGTGTATATTAAGAAAAAATTAAAAACAACGATTAAGCCCCACCCATACCTGCCCTGATGTAAATAGTAATGAAGTTTTCATTGGTTGGCAGACCTAGGGGAGGAGCCTAATTGCAAAATCCATATTTCCGCATAAAAATTTACTATTTTAAACGTGTTTTAAGTTTCTAAGAATAAAAAAAATCATCACAATTGAGATGGGGCGGATGGGCGGGGTTTTATATTTTGGCTTTTTTCTTTAATGTACGTAGTATTCTGTGAACAACGCGATACTCAAAAACATGTTTTTAATTTCTTGTAAAGAAATAAGTATTTTGCAGTTAAGCTCCGCCCCCTTGTTTCACGGCGAATAAAAAAAATTATCACAATCATCCAGAAGAAAGCTTTCTTGGCTGCTCGGCTTTGTACAGAACATTTCCGAATAGAAGATCACCATACATCTATGAATCCTTTGGAAATGTATTCTGTAGGACTCTTATTATTTGTTTATTTTTGACGTTAGCTTAAAAATTGACGTTTATTTTTAAACGATTAACACCAAACAGCATGTTTTACTTAAAAAATATATATAATGGTAAATATTCACAATCAGCAACTTCAAAGATATTTGGTTGCGTTTTCAATTTTTTAGGGGTAGGTTTTCTTATAAATACTTGTACGTCTTTTAAAAATTTTAATACAAATGACTTTTCTTTGTTACGGTGTGTCCGCGACTTCAGGGATATTTGTGGAGACACCCCGTATAATGTTACTGGAGCCATTAATGGATCATAACATGCGAAAAAAAACCTTCTTGTAATATATTAACTGCTCGTTTTTGTTTGGGGGAACGTAGGTCCCAGACCACCCTTAAATGTGCACTGATTCATTGTCATCTGTCATATTTGTCGTTTGAATTTCCATGTTTCGTTCCATTGTGCTTTAAAGTTTGCATGACGTCAATTTGTTATAACCTCACTTTTTCTGACATATCGTATCATGTAAATGCAGGCATACATCTTAATTCTGTCTTAATTAGTAAGAAAAGGCGACTAACCAGTAACAAGAATTTCTTTTTGATGGCTTGTTACATATCTGTTTTGTTGGTTGCCAATCTATTGACGTAACAAATTCCTCAACGATTAAAAATGCTAGAGAAATTACCTTAAAACAGTAACCTTTGATAAAAGATCAAAGATTAAAATCAATCACGTTTAGAAACCTCATTTTACTACCATTACAATGAAAAAAAAATCTGTCAGTGACTAATTGACAACAACATTGTTTCTCCGACAGTGCTTAATTTGTACGTGCTAAAGCCACCACTTACGACACAAAACTCCCGGCAGGTGATCATCCCCGCAAACATTACAAGTTCTGAGGTTGGTCTTTGGCTTGAGCATTTTCCAAATGTAATCTGGATGTCCGAACCTTCTTTTCATCCGCCTCTCAATAGTCCTTCTAGCCGTGGGCACGGCCCACACGAACCCATCGCCTACGATATCCTTCAACGAGAAGGCCGGCTTTTGGTGCAGCCGTTCCTGGACGTCGACTCCAGCGAGGCAAAACCCATCTGTCAAAAAGTGAGGTTAGGAGGAGGAAAAGTGCGTGCACTGGTGTTATGTAACGCGTGTTTTACCTGGAGGAAATCTTCTGGTGAAGACGGAGGCGATGGCCAGTTCCAGGCGTTGGATTGCGACATTAATGCGGATTAGGAGCGAACCGGCCATGGTCTAAGAAGCGCGTTTTCCGATCAGCTGTAGTGGGACAAACTGGAAAGGTGCGATGCGGAGAGTCTTTGCGCTTGGGGAGAACCCAGTCACAACAGTTCTGGCGATGGCTTCTATAGGGTCTGGTAGACTCTGTGCTCGGGTGCAGGAAAAACTGTGTCAGTGGGGACAGTATACGAGGAGAGAAGCGTATTCGTGTGTACGGACAAAAATCGGATCCCAAACCGCCCCCAGAGTGCCTCAGGAGCGACAGGTCAGAATTTTCACTTTTCACGACATAGTCAACTGAATACCCTTCGTGCAATTTTTTTTTCAAAAATCACTTGTCATTTTTTTTGCATAACATCCAGCACTGAAACCACTTTCCTCATCAGGTTCTTCTCAGTCTACAGAAATATGTAAATGAAGAAAGACTTTTACTTTTAGACCGCTATCTAGTAGTTCTCTATTCGAAAGTTCACTGTTAATGGCCGTCGGTTCATTGTGTTAAATCGTCGTGAATTAGTGATAGACGGCCTAGATACCGATCATCTGAAACCACTAAACCGTTTCGTATTCAGATTTACATCTTTGGCGCCTCGATAAAGAATAATGCGCAAGTGCCGTGACTTAAGCTTGTGATGCGCGGCCCTTTTGGATATCCCTCAAGTTTTTGAGAAATAATGTGTTTGACAGAAAAAAGTAGGCTACCAGGCGGATCTACTACTTATGTTCGTGAAAAATTCTATGCGAGTATAATTCGTACAACTTTCTCAATTCCTATCTTTGTAATAACTTTCTTTTAACTCACTTGTATGCATTCGTTTACCACTTAACAACGTAGGGTGATTTTAAATATAAATAGCCTGTTTTACATTTTATTATTGAGTGGGTTGAAATTATCATAGGCGCAATATTATAATTTTTTCGACTCCAATAGGGTCATTTTGACACTGTAAAATACGAGAATGCGGTTTTATTGTTGTTATTTTTCTGGTGGTGATTTTATGTGATACCTATCTTCTACTGAAGATTGTGAAATAAAAGTTTAAACGTCTCTTAAGGTTATCGTGAAGATGACATTAGCTAAGTAATATTGTCCTTGACTCCCTCCAAAAAATCAATGATGTAATCTCCATTTTATTGTTAAATATTAAACCCACCCCGTATTTTTAACTCTATGTAAACGTATACGATTGCCTAAAAAAGAAAGAAGTTTGAATGATAACATTTAATGATTTATGTACAAGATGAGATAATGGACTTTTAAAAATTTTGCTACCATAATAGTATTAATTTAGCCATCATAAAGAAGTAGCTGCACTTATTTATTCATTCCCTCTCGAGAGTTTATAATCAGATACACTAAAATTTTAATAAGTGCACTTAAGATTACCGTGAAGCTGCTCAAATATTGATTTCATTCTGTCAAAATGACTTAGAACAATGAATGTATGATTTAATTTTTTATTTTTTATTTATACAATGGGTCTGTAAATGATTCTGGTGTCAAAGGAGGCTTTGAAATTTCAAAAAAATGTGCAGCTCTTTACAACTACGTTATGAGCTTTTTGTAATCGACCTACTCAACTCATCATTCATCACAATTGGTCACATAATTAGAGTAAACAAGGTGTCAAATAATATAAAAAGAGATTCCAGAGTCAGAATCATGTATAGCCAATGTAAATGTGTGTCATTGTGCGTTAGGGACAATAAGAGATTTCTGTAAATAATCGCATGTGCATGTCGTAGTTATCAATTTGGACCATTAAACAGTGTTTCTCATGATTTATTACGATCACGTCATTATGATTCCGATTAAATAATATACAGTAATGTTCGGTTATAACGAACCTCATGGGACTGGGAAAAGTAGTTCGTTATATCCGAAGTTCGTTATAAATGATCTCAAAAAAATCAATATATACTTTGATAAACTGAACTATGTATTTCAGGATGCAACATTTAAAAGTATTACAAAAATATAAACATGTAAAGATAATAATACAGTAGTACATATAAGAAAAAAAAAACTTGATTAATAAAAAGTTGATTAAAAATAAAAGTTGTTACTTAAAATAATCTCAAATTTTACGTTCCTTCTTGTGAGACAGATTAATTTAAGAGGGTTTTGGGATCGTTCCCTCTTTTTCTTCTTCTTGGTTATCATCATCGTCTTCAGTCTCATCTTCTGTTTGAATGTTGCATTGAACTAATTCTACAATAGCAGCAGCATCCAAAATTTCAGACTTCACTAAAATATCGTCAAAATGGACAAAAAGTCGATATCAAATTCATCGTCAGAATTGCTTTCGTGCTTTCTCAGCCATTCAGCCAATGGTAGTTCGTCTTCTGGGGTGGGATTTTGTTTCTATAACGATAAAATATCGGTACCGATAAAATGTGGTCGTCTTTTTCTTTCGCATCTGAAATTTATATTTTCGTCCTTGTCATTTATCGCTACGTATCGTATCGTATCGGTAGAAACAAAATCCCACCCCTGGTTCAAATTTTTCCTCACACTGGAGGAACCCAGCATGTCGAAAACAATCAACAATTGTTTGTTCTGATACTTTTTGCCATGCCATACTGATAAAATTGACGGGATGTAATAGATTCACACAAAAGTGTTCCTGACCATTGTCGAGATAAAGTTGACTGGTGAAAAAGTTCGTTATAAACGATTTTTTTTTTCTTAAATATTAAAAATTTGGTTCGTTGTATCCGAAAATTCGCTATAAGTGGGTTCGTTATAATCGGAAAAAAATAACACGTATCTTATGGTACTTCAGTTCGTACTTTGCAAGTTGGTTCGTTATATCAGGAAGTTCGCTTTAACTGGGTTCGCTATAAGTGATCATTACTGTATATATTTGTTTATAGAAATGTCAGATAAAATATTTTTTTTGTTATTTTTAAGAAATAAAGAACTTAAAAAATACAAATTTCATTATTACTCGTAATATCCGATTTCTGAAAAGCAATTTATGTTTGACTTGTGGTGACACGTGAGTTTAACATTTCATAAGTAAATGCAATGTCGCATCCTGTTCACATCACTTTTCAGAACAGATGCATTGTTTAACGGAAGTAATTTTTACTGTTTGTTTACGAAACGTGGAGTATTTAACGGAAAATGTATAAAATAATTGCCACATGTTTAGAATAATAAGTACAAAATTAAAAGAAATACCGATCCCACTGAAAATATCAAAGCGATTAAGTCTTGAAGCGACTCATTATAGACAAGTCAATTATAAATGTCGCGCTGTAACGAATGAAAAACTTGTCAAGTTGGCGTTGTTTTTTTTTGATAGAATAAAATGTAGCGAAAAACGCATGTGTTTTATTAATCTATTGTTGTGTATATTTGACGTTAATTTTATTATAGAAAAAGTTAGGTTAAGTTGTACATTCCTGCGTTGTCAGGTGTCATCGATTCAATTTTAGGTTTATTGTAGACATACTTAACAATGTTTACAAAAATCAAGGCCAATATACCCGTTATAGGTAACTTATTCAATGTGACAGTGTGACATAATGATTTCGATATGTATTTGACTTTATTTTTAGAGATTCTCAACTTGTTACTGAATTACCTTTTGCTACATATTGATATTTTAACCAACCTATTTCCGCATCCACTAGAGAAGCAGGTTGAGACCTTCAATTTTAATAGTGGCCATAGTGGTGGCACGTTATTGATTCGAATCCGGCCCATTTGAAACTATCGGAAACTTTCAAATACACTTCAAATAACACATCTGTAACTATTAACTACATATTTATGTATTTAACAACAAGAAATTGTTTTAATTTCTTTCTTAACTTTCTTACTTTTGTTTTTGTGATATTACATTTAATACTGTTTGTTTACATTTTGAATAATTATATAATAAAAGAGATTTGCACCGTAATTCATATATAAATATTGTTAAAATAATGTAATAGCAGTGTTTTGTCGCGTAATACGAGACGAAATAGAAGTAAAATTCGTATTGTATATTTGAATTTTAAAAACTTACAAAAATATTTTCTGTAATCCTAGGGCAGTAAACAAGATAATAAAACTGTAAAATACAAAATAGGTCTCGTGGAACACAAAGAATATTATTACAAAAACTTTTGTTTATAATTTTTAAAATGACAACAATGAAATCATAAAGATACGTGAAAAAAATCTGTTTTGTAAGTCATAATTCTTGTAAAAAAAGAACGCAGTTGCGTAAAGATTCATCTTGCATTTAGTACTTTTTATAATATAGTGTGTGAATAATAAGTCTCAAGGTTTTAATTATAATATATCATTTTTGCAAGCGATGCGACAATGATAAGGAAAAACTTTAATGAATGTTATGACATGACCATGAATAGAATAGATAATAATTAAAATTGAATTAAACTAATAAAACTCAAGTTATAAATTTGTACACTTTGTGATATCAGAACAACATAGACTCAACCAAAGTTTTAGGACTGTAGGTATATGGATCATGAAATGACCGGAAGATAGTATTTTAGCGCACAAGAAAATACTGAAATGTATTCTTAATTTGCCAAAGGAATAGCGTCATTAACTACTATGAGCGCTGTGATTAATGATCATAGAACTGTTTCAATTAAAGCGAAGATACACAAGCGTTAAGTACAGAATAAGTGACTGTAAAGACCGGATCATGTGTATAATCCTAGAAGTTGTTCTATTAAATTTTCCAATAAATCCAAGCAAAATTACAGATGTTGAACTGTCTCAGTTCGAATTTTAAACTATGGAAAATAATTGTAAACCATTCGCATTGTTTAAAAAAAAAACAATATCGATAACACCAATCGCAGTGTAACAAGAAATATTTGTACCACTTGTTTTTCTAAATTCATTAATATTTCATACTTTAATCACCCATACTTCATCATCGCCTTTGATTCGAATGTACGAAAACACACTGTTGATTTATATTTGGTCTGGACCGGAGTGTCAGTTCACACTTCTCCACCGATGATAGGAAACGGAGACTCGATTAACAATTGTTTCAAAATATGAATACATTGATAAAGTGCAAGGCTGTGCTGTGCGTGGAAAATGTTCCGATCAATATTTCAGCAAGGACACGTATGTCAATTCCAATACGTCCTGTGTAAACTACTTGCTATTTACACAAAACTATTTCTTGCGAAAACATTATCGTGAGTTCATAGCCACGGTTTCATCTACAAGCTTGCTTACCTTGCGGGTAAAGCATAATTTGGGACACTTGGTATACTAATAAAATT